CATACCTTTACACCTAGAAACTAAAGTCACGTTATTACTGCATTCTTGGAACAGTATGCGTGAAACTATTTGTTCCATGTAACTCTACAGCACATGATTCTGTCAGGAATCAGTTCATCATTTACAAAATCAAAGACCCTCTCAGGAAACTGGGCACAAATTGGAACACAAGAGGTTCTGTCTAAACGTCTGGAAGCACTCTGTTACTGTGCAGGTGACAGAGCAGTGAAATAAGCTGCCCAGAGAGGCTGTGGAGCCTCCCTCCTCAGAGACCTTCAGAAGCCAACTGGACACAGTACTGGGCAACCCGCTCTGGGTGGAGGGCCAATGACCTCCAGAGGTCCCTTCCAACCTCCACCATTCTGTGTTTCTGTAAACGAGAGCTCTGCTGTACGCTACAGCTGCATCAACAGCTTCACTGGTTGCTTCCTTTGCATGTAAGGGGCAATAAAGACCCGGTAAAATACCAGCTTCATGCTTTGAGATAAAATGCTAACTAAATAGGTAGCTACTGACAACAACTGCCCTGCATGCATCACGTAAACACCCACCTTAGGAATGGATTCTCCCTAACACCCAACAGGTAAAGACGTTAATATGGCATGTAACAGCATCTGAACAAGGACTCTAAACTGAGTTTTCTGCAGGTCCCTCAAGGCCCCCCTTCCACTGCCACAAGGACTACCATTGCTTCACCTTCACCTACAGGATAACCAGCATGCACTTCCAACATGCTACTCTAGGAACTAAGAAAATTAAAAAAAAAAAAAAAAAAAAAGAGAAACGTTTAAGAATGCTTAGAATTCTAAATTACTTGGCATCTTCTGATTTATTTTGAATCCATATTTTACATAAAAACGCACCAACATTTCACATGTTAACTCAATCAGGTATTTAAGTACTGTATTTTTTGATGCTCAAGCACACATTACACATTTCCTCTAAAACTGTAATGGAGGATATGAAATTCCAACACACACCCCCAGACACCTGATTACTCCATTTAGAATTGTATTTGATTCATTTGTCTTACTTCTCCACCTCATCCTAATCAACTTACCTTCTTTTCTAAGCATTCTGCAAATTTCAATTGCTTCAACAGTTTCTTCTGTTTGTTGCTGAAGCGATTGTCCTGTTCTGCACTTGTTCCCTAAAGCACAGGAAAAAAAATAAGTTTAGCTTGCATGACATCCATCCAGCTTTCAGTACTGGTTTCCTGTATGTTCTTTCCCACGTATTTGCACAGCAATACCAGTGACACCATTCTGCACACAAACGAGCCTTTTCCACTGCCTTTCTATTTCAGCACCGCAGTCATCACCTACTGCTGAAGGTTTAGGGGTAGGCAAACTCCTAAATCCACAGTGACAACTTAATCAGGTAATCTCCCTGGCACACTACTTGCAAATTTTAAAAGTACAGTAGTGCTGAACTGCAATGAGAAGGACCTATGCTGGAGCTCACAAACTCCTCAGAAGGAGAAAGTTCTTCTTCCCCTTTCCAGTAACAAAAACATTGTATTTGGCTACAGTGACATCTGTGAAGCCCCTGGGTAAATCTCTGAAGCGAATTAGCTAACACGGAGTCAGCAAGAGTACAAAGAATACTATTTTATTGATCATGTTCTGTTAAAGTTCACCAACTTGTTCCACTTTTGTGAACAGAAACTATGGATGAAATCATTTGGAACTGGAAGACTTGAAAGCCTGTGTCTGGAAAATTTACTTGCATAGAAGTAAACAACTGCACACGAACAGAAGTACGTGCAGAACTGCATCCAAATACTAATAACCCGTTAACAATTCAAAAGCCCAGAATTCACGTGTGAAGTAAAGTTTATTCAGGAAATCAACGTGACTGATGAAGAACACAGGAAATTAATACATTCAATTTCCTGTGCGCGGAAAGAATGCGCTGCATGCAAGTAATAATACAAGCTGCTAAGGAACCAAAAGATAAAAAGAAAAAGCTCAAAATTCTAGGGTAACTACTTAATTTGATCAGAAAAACACCCTGAATTAGCAACATAATACACTCTAAATTTGTCAAGTACAGAATGGGAACTGAAAGCATTAACATTCCCATTTGCAACCTTGGGACACAGGAATTGTAAAGACTTGTGGCACAGACACCTGCCAGGATTAAGTATGTTTAAAACTGTTTATAGTATTTGCAGCCTTGCAACCTACACCTTAGCAACAGATGCAATACTCACCAGATCATTCAAGAATGTCTTGGCTTTTAACTTTTCCAATTGTTTAAAATATTATTTACAGTCCTGTTTCACTACCATGTTTTGATTTTTTTTTGTTTAAATTAGGCACCTTTCACAGCCCAGTCTAATACTCAACTTCTAGTTCAGTGTTTTCAGTCCCAGTCATTGCACTGTAAGTGACAATTATTCGGTCTGTAAACTTTTAAAGAATGGCACCAGGTGGCACAAACATAGGTTTAACTTGTAATTATTTTTCTCTTCAACTCATTTCCTAGCATGCTGATGACATTTTTACCAGGCTAGCACATTAGCATAAAAGCGATTAAATGAAGGGAAAGGTGTGCTCCCATGTTTTAAAAGCATCCCTGGTGCAGGAATACAAAATCATTGGGCTGAACGGGTCAGCGACTTCCCATCAGTTAGATTCCGTGTAAAATTAAGTACTCTCACAACAGCCACGGAAGCCCTTTAAAAAATAAATCAATTTTAATTAGCGAAGAAAAGGTTAGAAGAAATACACCCCGGTTTATTTCTTAAAACATCGAATAATCTTCACACCACGGAGCTGTAAGTCCCCACGCTTCAAAAAGGGTCAAAACAGGGCACTTTGGTTTATTTCCTCTGAACCAGCACGTCTCACTGCAACCCCCCCCAACCCCCCCCGCGTTTCAAGGCCCCGGGGCTTAGCCCGTGAGGCGGCCGCAGGCCCCGCCGCGCCGGGACCCCCCCATCCCCGCCTCCTCCTCCGGGCCCCGCGCGGGGAGCGGCGGCGGCGGCCTCGGGAGTCCTCGGGAGCCCCGGGCCCTCCCCCCCCGGCCCCGGCCGCCCCGCGCCGCCTGGGTCCCGCCGCCATTTTCTGCGCGGCCGCCGCTCGCAGGAGCCTGCGCAGGGCGGGGGCGGGGGGCACGGCGGCGCTGCTCGGGGAGCGCCGCGCCAGCGCCTTCCTTCCCCGGCGGCGGCGAGGCCCGCGGAGGCCCGGCCCGGCCGCCCGCTGCCCTCCGGGCCGGGCCCGGCGCCCTCTCCGCCGCCGGCCGCCCGCCGCCGGCACTTACGCGGAAGAAGCCCGCGTCCATCTTGCCTCCTCCGCCTCCTCCTGGCCGCAGCGCGAGGCCGTCCCGGCGTGCACCGCGCGCCGCGAGCCCCTCGCACGCTGCTGGCGCTGAGGTGGGGGGGGGGGAGGAGAGCGCGGGGCGCCTGCGCGCGGCACGAGCGGGAGGGGGCGAGGGGGCGGAGCCGCGCGCTCCGTGAAGGCTGTGCGACGCCCGCCGATTGGCGGATGCGGGCGGAGAGGGTAGGGGAGCGCGCCGGAATCGGCCAATCGGGAAGCGCGACGTTCCGGGGGCGGCTGTGCGAGGGTGGGGGAGCTGCGGGGACTGCGAACCCTCTTCTCGCGAGATGTTGGCGAGGGGCGGGGCGGGGGCGGCTCCCAGGGCCCGGCCCCGCCCCGAGGCAGCGACGGGGCCGGGAGGGGGCGCGCAGGGCCCGGAGCCGCCCGGAGCCCCCCGGAGCTCCCCAGCGCCCCCCAGCGGCGGGAGGCCCCCGGCGGGACAGGGCCGCGCCCCGGGCCCCTGGGGGCGTCGCGGCTGCCGCGGGGCTCCCAGCGGCACCCAAAGGAGCCGTTTAAGGACAGACCCCCCGGGGGGGCGGCTGCTCCGCCCGCAGCAGCGCCCACCCGCACAGAGCGCTGTACGGCAGCAGGGTGCAGCTCGCTGTTACGATTAATTAACTAATTAATTAATTAATTCTGCCAATGCAAAGCCAACAGTCCGTTAGAAGCGGGGCTGCCCGATAACAAACAGAGGACAGCGAGATGAGGCTTATCCTTTGCCCTGGTTTCAGTTAGGGCAGGGGTCATTTTCCTCCTAGTAGCTTGTATGGTGCTGTGTGTGGGATTTAGGATGAGAATAACGTAGATACCACACTGATGGATTAGTTGTTGTAGAGCAGTGCTTACACCAAGCCAAGGACGTCTCAGCTTCTCGCTCTGTCCTGCCAGCGGGCAGGCTGGGGGTGCAGTAGGAGCTGGGAGGGGACAGGCCCAGGACAGCTGACCCCAACTGCCCGAAGGGGTATTCCAACCCATCTGGGGTCATGCGGAACAGTACACAGGGGGGCTGGCCCAGGTCAGGGGGCAGCTGCTCGGGGTTAGGCTCGGCATCGGCCAGCGGGTGGTGAGCAACTGCACTGTGCATCACTTGTGTGTACGCACTATTAGCAGTATCTATAATGATAATACTATCATTATTACTATTATTATGTGTTAATAAACTGTCTCTGTCTCAACCCACAGGCTTCACTTTCCCGTTTCTCTCCCCCATCCCAGAGAGGGAGGGAGGAGGGCAAGCGAACGGCTGTGTGGTGTTTAGCTGCCGGCCGGGTTAAACCACAACAATCTTTTCTAAAGATCTGGATTTGGATACAGCAGAACATGCTCAAAAAACAGCGTTAAATGTTCAGAAATAGAAGCAGGAGGCCAGCTCCTCTACAAAAATTCAGTTGGCTTCTGCAACCTCTTATGAATTATTATATCAATTATTCCTGCCACCAGAGTAAGTTACAGAATTTGGGCAAGTAGAATATTTACAAGATTTAGAAACTTCACAAACAGCTGACTTAGTATTTAGTTTGGAATTCAAACTGTGCTCGAGTTTCATTAAAGAAATTGCAGAGTAATTGAATTTAGTTTCTGCACAAAACCACCAGTTGGTAAAAATAGCCTGTTCCAGAGATGTTTTCATATCTCGGAGAAAAGTACATCGGTGTGTCACTCCTGTCCCTTATCACTTTGCTCTCAGAATGGTCAGCTTAGTTTTGGTGCTGCATGATTTAGGAACAGTAACTGTTCAAGGGAGTCAGGACTTGCGACAGCATTGAGAAGAACAGCACGGGAACTGCTGCAAGACAAAGAAAAGCTGCGGTGGGCTGCAGGTTCTCTGTGACTCGATTTGATGAGTAACCTCTCTCTGCAGCTCCCAAAAAGGAGTTCCAATACCCTACTAAGTTTTACTGTGGTCTGAAAGCAGGCTGGAGCCCTCTAATGGTCACAGTAGCTTAGAGCTAGCTCCTGGGATTGTCTAAACGTAAGAGAAACTTCATACGGTATATCCAGACCGTTACTGCTGTATTTACTTCACACTATCTAGCCGTTTGAGTGAGTGGTTTCTTACAATTCAAGGTGTATCTGTCAAAGAGCGGAGCTGTTTCCCAATAAAATGGGGTTTCGCTCCTCTTCCTACTACTATCTGTCCTGTCAGCCAGTGCTTCAGGGATGCTTTGATATGCACACTATGAGACAATCAGCCACAGAACGCCTTGACAATGCCGCTGTGTGATCAGACTCAGTGGGCTGTGAAATATCCTTGGGAATTTCTTTGGTGCATTACTGTACACCCACAGCCATCACACTTGCAGATCAACATCACTTTCAGATGCTTTCCACAAGAGCGGAAAAAATTAAAACTATTTCAAGCCTGGCCTGCATTAGGGGACAAACATTTCAGGATGTTTTCAAGTTGTAGTAAAGTAGTTGCATAAACCCTCACTTGCTTTAAAGCGCCTTTCCCTGTTTACTTTTTTCAATTAAAGAACTTCTCAGGCTCTTAGACTAAATACTCGAATGCAACAGCAGTAATGAACCTAGAGCAGCAACCTTGGCATGGAATTGAAAACCTCTGGACCAGTTCATTTGGAAACAGACAAGGTACCAAGTTTATAGAAATGTTTCAAAAATACTTGAAAATAAAAATTAACTTTTCTGTCTAAAACCATACGTACCTGGTATTAGAAACACAAAAGACAACTAAAGATAAATACAATTTTGCTACTTACAGTTTGCTACTTCCCATACTATCCATCATGTATAAAATAAACTACAAATCTGTTTCACATAAATCTTAACAAAGCCAGGTTCAACCTGAGTTGCAGCTCGCATGTCCAAGTTTTTCTTCCATTTATCATCAGTCATTGCAGAATAGAAAAAGCTCAAATTCTGAGTAAGCAAGAGCTCCACAAAATACGAATCTTCACCATTTCTTCCAACAAATGGGTTTGGCCCATTTTGTCTTTCTGTACCCAGAGCTCTGTAAGAAGGCTCATTGCATTTCCCATGGTCTGTATGCCTTCACCAGTTGATTTTCATCATACAGAAAGTGTTCAGATCATTTAGTTCTCCTCTCAAAGAGAGAAGGCAGGGCTAATTACAATCTGTAGACAAGATAACAGCTACTGCTGTTCCCAGTGCAGTGTTGCTTTGCTGTAAGTCCCAGGTCCATGTGAATAAGAACTCCAGCTCTTTTCTCCCACAGGAGGACACGTGTTCACAACTGTCTGCTCTGCATGTGGATGTCCACGGGTATGAAGGTCACCACAGGATGCTGAGTAACGCTGTCGCTGTTCTGCCCTAAAGCAGGTGGCATTGCTGTTTTGGTGCTCTTGGGTTCCAGCTCACGCTTCACTCGCATGCGCCTGGAAAGGGAGCAATGAAAGCATCAGCAGTGCTGACACCTGTTGTGGTGTCTCCCATGATAAGTATTGGGAAGACTCCTGCAGAAGCAGGTTGAGCTGAATAGCTATTGGGAGCTCTACTGAAGTATAGAACTCAACCACATACCTGTTATACGTTTTCAATATGAGCAGAACCACTGTAAATATAATAATTACTCCTACTACGATGGCAGCAACTATTGCTCCAGAACCTGGCAGGGAAGCAGAAAAGAAGAAGGTCTTATTTAAAAAGTTATCGCTGTACTGTTTGAAGTTTGCTAAGTTCAAAGGTCCATTTTAAAAAACTACAGGGGAAAACAAACAAACAAACAAACAAAAATTCTCTTTGTTACTTTTTATTCAGTGGAACAGTTTGGGATACAAGCATTTGGGAGGCAAGGAAGGAGGAGGAGTATTTAGCTGAGAAACTGGAGCACCCAAGTATTGCATGAGAACTGGAGTATACAAATAACTGTTCTCTTTTTCTCATGTCTTTTCCTCATGTATACTTAACAAATACGAGAGAAAATGAAAACAAGTTTGGACGTTACTACTGATCTAATCAAGGTATAGTAATTACAGTACAAAAAAAAAAAAGCCACCACCCCACTACTTTTCTTACTTTGATAAAGACTTTGTTCTTGAGACTTTGTGGTCACATTTAATGAGAACTGAGTATTATTGATCAGTGGTGCGGCTGTCGTCATCTTGCTTGGGCTACAGAAGAAAAAAGAAGAGTGATTTCATCAACTATTATCACTGAATTGTGCTACCAATGCTTCATTAATTAGGCAACTGCCTATTAAAGATTCTGAGCTCTATTTACCTTCTACTAAGGGGTTCTTAATATTTTCTTAGTGGTGAAAATCTGGCCCTGTGGAAGTCAATGGAAGTTTTGCTACAATCTAGTCGTGAGCAATGTGCCTTACAACATACACTGTTCAGTGTTCATAGGATAAAACAAGATACCGACACAATGATGCATTGTTACCCACAGATTACTGATGTTACACATTTTTTGGACAAATGTATGCATCTTAAGTGCTTTAGGATTTTCGATTATCACACCAGGTTATGAGATTCAGGTCACTGGGAAAATAAGCAGGCAAGGCAGGGCTAAGAGGAGAAAGTACTCGACCTCCCTGCCCCACTCCTCCATTGCCAAGTTGATTTATAGAGATGCTTATCTGTGAAGAGTCCCGTATCTGATATTCAGCAATATAAAGGAAGGCAAAAAATAAAAACAGGTTTTCTGTTACGTCATTGCTGCCAAGTGATGTAAGGATACTTATTGGTGGGAATCACAACAAAGTGAGAGATTTTCATACCAAGTATCAATACCTTAAAAAAAGCAGGAGGAGGTGAGAGAAGAAAAACAGTTTAATTAACTAAATTGAAGCTCCAAACTTACATGGCAAACAACTGCTATGCCACAACAGAAAAAGAAAAATAAAAGCAACACAAGTGCGACAGTTTGCTTTGAGTTTTGGGAAGTAACCTTACTCACACCAGCATCATTGCAGGTCTCTTGTTGGAAGAGGACAAGCCTGCAAGCGGATAGCTGAACATACACCTATTTCTGTATTTCAGTAGGGTAAAATTGTAGATCTAGAAAGAACAGCCTGTATGTTTACTGATTTTATAAGCATTTCCCATGTTTTCTAAATGTGACTAGTAACCTTAGCTACCAAAAGAATCCTTCAGAATCCTTCATGGTGTGAATACCACTTCAAACAGACCTCTAAAACCATTTCAGCTCCTAGCTTCAGAGAGCTAATACCCTCAAACTATCAACCGAAAACTGATACTGCATTTGAGTTTCCTGCTTCAGCTGCTGCCCCGTATACACACAAGCAGGACTCTGCCCTACCCTCTGTTATACTCCAGTGGGATATTGTGGACCTGTGGCATGTCCTTAAGTAGCTTCAAGTTTTACAGAGCATGCAACATAAAATAGCCAGAAAATGAAGTGGATAGAAATTAGCAGTAAAAAGAACTGCAAATCAGCCTCCTGGGACACAGTCAGATAACTAGTTAACTACTGAAAATACCAATTCACAGCTAACGCGTCTACTCTGCCTTCTTCCTTTCCCCTTTATTAAGACTTTCCTAAAGGTTACTTCAAAGTAACATCTATCAAATAAAATTAATTTAGTCACAAAGTAAAATTTTGAGAGGCAAAGAAGATATGACTGTGATTGCTCTTCACAGGCAGGGTTTTGTTTCGAGGCGGGGAGGAGACCAGTAGCTGTGTCAACACACAGTGCATACTTGGGAGGCTCCATTTAATACATGAGGAATGAGAGATCAGTAACCAGCAGGAAGGAAAAAGCTGATGTTTGCTTGGGTATGAAAGATTAGAACTGCAAGGTTGATTTAGTCAGATACTTCGATACTCCTACGGTCAAAAGGGGTTTGAGGTTTTTTTCTTTTTCTTTTAAATTAAAAAGCAAAAATAACTGTCTCAGAATCTGTAACTGGGTCATTCTCCTCTGACTGAATGATTCCTTTGTTTAGCCAGTGCCAAGTTAATACAGCAACACGATCATCTACTGTCGTCGCAGATCTTTCCATGCTAAAAGAAATATTTTGTGTTAAGAGTTTGCTCAGCATTATTGTATAGCACAGTGAAATGATTTACACGTGCCTTGGTGGAACCTGTGAGAAGTCACCGAGTGCTGGTACCAGCGCCTCTCCACAGCTGTTCCCTGGCCGATCCATGTGAAATCGCACTGGTTGTACCAAGGTTGTACCGCACACAAGCACAGGTTGACAAGACTCACTGTTGTGTTGTAAGCTGGGGAAAGCTAAGCAAGTATTTTGGCTATGGGCACAGTACAGAAAAAGCCATGTCCAACTGCCACTTTGCTGCTCCACAACACAAGCTCCAAATTCAAAGCAGCATTTTTATCTTCTCTGACTACCAAAATAAAAATCCCAAATAAAGGTGGCTGAACATTTAGGTACTAAGCCCTCCAGCAGTCACACTTCATAACTTCCATCTGGTTCAAGCCACCTTGGTAATGGCGAGCTATTTGTGTATGAGTCACCACAGCCACAGAGTTATCGTTGTCAGTGAAACTGCCCGCTTACAAAAAGGAGGAATTTGTCTCACAGGTTGTAACAGTCTTAAGATGCAAAATGAAAAATGCAAAAAATCTTTTTTTTCCCCACATTGTGTATTCTGTAGCAACTGGAAAGGTCTGAGGTCTGTGTCTCGGTCAGGATGGGAGGTGTCAGTCTTCAGTTCTGCTTTACCTCCAGCGCCATTCCTCACCCATTAATCAGCAGGACTATTTACGCCTGCCCAAGCCTGCCTTACAAGGGTCAAGGATCCAGCAAAGTCCAGCGAGATCCATGGGAAAATACCAGTTTCAGGGTATTGCAGACCAGATCCTACTCTGTATAGAAAAACATTTGGAAAATGAAGAGTGCTTCATAGGAGCTAAACAACAGGGGAGAAGAAATGGACTTTGCTACAGCAATCGCAGGACATTCTTTCTTTATGACACAGTCTGTACCTCCCCTGTGCACACACACCTGCCCTAGTTTTGGAGAACCAGCAATTCACACACAGCTCTACAGGCGGGTGGGGGCACACACTGCTGGTTATTTTTGCATCCACGTATGAGGGAATTGGAAATATTTCCACAGAGTTAAGCATTGGCATTTTTCCACTTAAAACACCTTTACAGATACAGCGTATAGGTTGTTTTGGCAAGTGGTAGCAATGCCCCCATTTATGAGGCCCTCCTGCCTCCCCCTGTCCTGTTGAATTTCAGGCTGAATGGCCACGCTCATTCACAGCGAGGGCAGGACCAGAGCTCAGCTCAACCTGGCAGTTGCAGGAGAGGGTGACAGGGAACAGAGGGGCTTGTTTGAATTTTTCCATAAGAACTGGACCTGCAGAGCTAACTTCCTGCCAGGGAAGGCAGGTGCTGGTTAGGAAGACACACAAATTCAGCACTTTGCCACTCAGAAAAAGGTGGTCTTTGCATCAGGTTGTGGCAGGCTTTAAATGAAATACAAAATCATCTATTATTTCTCCAGTAGTAGTTTTGAATCAAGATGTAGTTTCAGCCCAGGATCTTAATTATAGAAGTGTTTTACCCTTTCACTGGCACTGCTGCACAGATAACATCTTACACTGTGCCCAAACACCAGCTGAAAAACAATTACAGTAAAGAAACGCCAAGATGTCATCTACGAATCCCACGAGGCAGTCAAATCCTAATAAATAACGGTAAAAGGAGTTCTACTACATAAATGGTTTACGTCCCAAGAGCTGATTGAGTCTCAGATTCATTCTCTCTTGCAAAAAGAGCAAATCACAGAACCATAATTGTACTTTATCCTGCAAAAGAAGCAGGTGAGGAGTCAGCTACCATCCCCGTCCCCCGTCCCACTGCTACAGAGCCTGGAGCTTTGTGCTAAGGCACATCTGTCTGAGGCTCAGCTCAGCTCACACTCCTTCCAAAGCCGTCAACCTAATATCTGTGGGAAGCAGCGAGCTCACTCTCATCCAAGAGAGAAGTTAATCCTCCTAATGAAGTTCAGAGTTTTCTGCTCTTCCTAAAAGCAACCAGGTTAGTAACCTAAAAGGACCTGGCTTGTGAGCAGTTGCTGGTGGAAGTAGATGCTTTTTTCAGTTCTGCTCCTGCCTCTGCAGGCAGCCTGGCCTGGCAGCATCGGTTCTTACAACAAGGTTTGCCTTGTTTAATCACGGTGAGCGCTTAGTGGCTGGAGCTGGAGCGTTTTATTGTCCCCAATTATGCTCTGACGGCGGGGCACGGGGATCAATTGAACATTCATGGCACAGCGCAGAAAGGAAATAGGCTTAAATATAAGAGCCACAAACTCAACTTCAGCTCCCCATAAGCTGACAAACCATCCGTCTGCAATCCAAACAGACGCTACTGCCAGGTCAGTCATGTGCTACCGAGCTCATGTTACAGCAGCGTAGGCCATGAGAACTGGGAACATTGCCTGGGTTTTGAGGCAAACTGTAATTTCAAAAAGCAATAAAAACACAATGTGCTTCAGTGAGACCTGAATGTGCCTGAACTTACCTTGCAAGGCTCTGAGAGGGAGGAAAGGGGGAAAAAAAACAAGTTCAAGCTGGCTACCAGGAGCTGAGGCATAAACGTGGCCTCAGGCAAACAACGCGGCTCTGTACTGAGCATCTGTATCAGCACATGTCCCGATGTCAGACCCGCACCTTTATATAAGCATTTGTCTTGGGCTCTGGCACGAGCTCTCCAGATTTAGCTGTTAAAACACGTATTAAAAGCATTTAATTTCTTTGTCGAGACAAAGTTACTCAAACTACAGGCAAGTCTACTGTGCAGTAACAGCTCAAAGGCAAAAAAAAAAAAAAAAGTCTACTTGTGTGGCTTTGATCTCAAGAAGTGCTAACAGCCTCAGCTCACCTGGCGGACAAGAAGTGAGGAGCTGAAGGCAGGTCCCCAGGAAGGAGCGCACTTGTTTTGAGAGGCATTCCTGGAAATTTGAACCAAACAGACTTTGTCATTGACTTGTCCAGCAGCAGTACCTAAACCTGACTGCAAACTGCGTGTTTCCCAATTCTAATCTTCTGCCTTAAAATGCTGGGCCACACACACTTCTCCTTGCCATGTGAGTGAATGCAGGTGTTTCAGCATGTGCAAAGCCTCACGGGAGCCCAAAGCACACCTGAGCTCCCCAAATGTAACAGCTCAGACCCTTTGCTGACAGTAACGTGGCTCTGCCCACTGCACACTGATAACATCCCACACACCGTGCATCGGCTATGGAGTACAGGTTGGGGGGCAGGAAGAAAGGATATGTATTTATCAGTTAAATATTACCCTGAAAAACTGATACAGAAAGAAGAAAAATGCCTTCAGGCACCACTGTGAATACCAAGGTAGGAATGACTCATGGGAGAGGGTGAATGAGTCTCAAGGTGACAGAAATTTTAGAAACCATCAACGTGTGCACTCAGATGGAAAGTAAGATTGGGTAAGAAGAAAATTAATCTGAGATGAACCCTCTGTCACCAGGCTGGCAGTCATCGACAGCAACACGTCGCACATCCCTCAGATCACACTGCCCGGGAGTTTGTCTCTGCTGCTAGGACAGTGGTGTTCAAGGAAGCCCCAGCAAACTGCATGCTGGTGGGAAAGGTAATGGATCTGGACAAATAAACCACAAAAAAACATCTTGCGCTTCCTTGAGCACGGTCTGCCTCCAGTTTTGCAGCAGAAAGTCAACCCTGCTTTGTAAGTGTTGCTCTAGAAATGGCCCTGTTATTACTGGACTAATTTCAGCTCTTCAGCAATATCATTGGAAAACTCTCTACAGAAATTCATAGTCCTGGAGAACAGAATTCAGCTGATTTTTGCATGCAACAGTTGTACAGTTCCAAATCCAGCTCCACTGCAAAGCTTCTCTGGCAAGGAACAGGGAGCCACGTTTCTCAAGAGAGTAACAGTGACATCCAGGTGGATCTTCTGACCCTGCTAATTGCAGTCAAATTACACAGAAGGAAAATGCCTGCTCCAACATGAAGCTCGAACTACCTGAGTTTCAGCTGCAGTCCAACAATGCATGTATAGAGCTGGGTTTCCACGCCAGAGTTCAAAAATACATTCCAGATACAGTAATGCTTTTGCAGAAATGATTAACAGGCTTTAGACCTTGCTGGATGTGCCATTTAATGAAAGGCTGGAGTAGTTCAGGAAATTACTCTGTTGTAGAAAGCCTCGCTCATTTTTTCTGTCCAGGCATCTGCTTTAGTCCAGTCAAAAATTGTATAAATGCTCCAAAGCCCAACAGAGGAGATCAGGACTGATACTGTTAGCATGGGAATTGCAGCATTAACTCTTTCATTTAAGCATCAGAGACAGGCACCTCTCTCAAAGTTCACATCGCTGTCTCTTGCCAGATTAAAGGAAATGTCCCACGTAGTTCCCAATTAGAAAAGAGAAAAACAGAACGGAACAAAGCAAACAAACAACACACACACACACAAAACGTCCAAGGGACTGTGGTACGATAAAGGAATCGAAGCACAGAATGGTTTAATTTAGGGCCAAGGTTTTCACAGTTTTTGGTAAACGTAACTTTAAATGAAGTATGTGACTACAATCACCTAGAAAATGAAACATTTCCACCACTTCCAGTGATCAACCCCCCTGATTCCCACAATCTAACCTGCTTGACTGAATTGGTCTGAATCCTGTGCTTATGTCCTGCAGTGAGAGGTGCACTTTCTGCATGCTTCCTATACAGCTCCAGAGCTCCTCAGAAATGACAACACAAAAGACTGCTTGGGAAAGAAAAAGATGACAGCAACAGAAAAGAAAGGAGCATTTCCCTCCTAGTTCTGAGCTGGATAAACCTCTGTCCTGTTGTGGTCCTGGGCCTTTGAAATGCCACGACTCCGCTCAGCTGAACTACCTGCTAAACAAAACATTTATTTTTGTTCATTGAAACATGTCACAGAAACACCTTTCACCTGTCCTCAGGGAAACAAAGACCTGGGCCCAGGAGGAGCGCAGACATCCCAATCCTCATCCAGCATCCTCAGCAGCCCACCCCTCGCTGTGCACGGAGCAGGCGAGGAGGAGCGAGGGGGAAGCACCGGGTGCCTGCTGTGCACCCGGGTCAGCCCAGCTCCCAGGCTCTTCCACCCACACCTCCCACTGGTGGCAGCTTCACAGAGGGAAGTGTAAACCTTCTTATGGAGCCTTTCGGACCTTTTGAAATAGGTATTGCAGCTACACTCTACCACAAGAAGTCTGCTGAGCCAAGGACGCAGTCCAGCCAGGCAGGACCTCTGCCACCCCTCGTTGCTCTGTAGCCAGACCTGGCACTTGTTCGGTGTGAACAGGAACACTCGGAAGGACCTTACACATCAACTAGGAATCTGGAGAACCCAGAGGTGAAGAGGAAATGGCAGGAGAGAGGAGCCAGAGTGGGATGAGGAGCCCGTACCCGTCTCTAGGTGTGACAATGGGCTTGGAAATCCTGGGGTCAGGCTGCGCGGTGCGGCCACTGTCCCCAGCAAGCTGATGTCCTGCAGGTGCTGAGCTGCACTGGGCAGCCAGCGTGTACCTTCAGGGCAGAGAGACTTCACCACTCTGTTTTACAAGAGACTAGGCAGCAGAGGCAGATTTCAACACACTTTTTAAAACAGGTCAGGGGATGTTGATGTGCTGCTTGTTTGCTGAGCAGATTGAGTCTGACAGCCTCCTCTTAGTCAAATATTAACAGCAGTACAGACAGGCTTTTCATCAACATGCTGAAATACCTTCCTCTAACAGAGAGTTAAAGCACCACCATGAAATAAGCCTGGACAGAATGTGTTCACACACGTGGTCAGAGTGGCTTTGAAATACATAGCATATCCTCCACCTTCTTTCCCAACCAAATGGCTGGAGTTCAGTACCATTCCTGAATGATTTGCCCAGTCCATGACTGGGTTCCCAGGCTAGAAAACCACTTCTCCCAGTTCCGATACCACCGCACACCTTCCTGGCCAGTCCCTTCTGTTCTCCAAGTTCTTTGATGCCTGCAGGCAAGTCACTTACCCAATGGCATGTACACCAGGAACAAATCCAAGAAGGAATGCAAACCCAGATGTGCTCCTCAGGCACTCTTCGCTATGTCCAACAGAATCAGAGACATCAACACAGCTACTGCTGGATCTACCTTACACTGAGATTCACATGGCACAGAGCAAACACCAGCTGCTCACGCGGTGATTGCAGAGCCGGCTGGATTAAGATTGCACCCTCAGCTGCCTTTCATGTCAGTCCTGCATTTATCAGCACAACCCGTAGCACATGAATCAACACAGCTCCTGTTTGCTGGCAGAAGGGTGTTCTTTTTTCTTTACTTTACAAATACATTTGCTAGGTCAAGAGTTTTGAGGCTTCCATTACAGACTAATATGCACGTAGGAAATTCTGTCTTTCCAAGTAATTATTTGGGTTTCTACTCTGCTCCAAGCAGAAGCACCAAGCAGCTGTGCAGCACACAAGGCCATGGCACTCTGGAGCAGCACAGCAGAGGATGGGCAGGACACGTCCTCCCAGTGCTGCTGCAGTGGTCTATGTGCTCGTTTCAGCCACCTCGGCCCGAGCACTGCAAAATCCCACCAAAAAATCAGTGTCTTTGCAAGCACACAGCCGGGTGGTTAAATGCTGGTGTTAGGTACGGCGATTTAGGTGTTTGGTCCAAGGGCCTCCATCTAGGAGGATGTGATAAAGGTGGAGACCCCTTCCTCTGCCCACTCCCCCAGCCTGGCACATGAAGCAGCTGCATTAACCCCAAAGCCTGGTAGGGGGATGCCTGACTCGTAGCTAGCCCTTCGCAGCTGACCATGAGGAAGCACCGTGACTGCAGGGGCCCTGGAATTACGTTATGCTATAAGTTTGTTGCTCCACGGAGGTGGTTGTGAAAACATTAAGTTATGTATGTCAGTGGGAAACTGGATGACTCAGACATCCCAGCAGCCTTTTTTTTTTTTTTCTTCCTGCTTTTCTCCTCTGTGATCTCCATTCATGCTTCACATCATCTCTCCCTGCAAGAGGTCTATAGGTTTTGGTTGCATTTCCTGATTTCTGTGATTCTCAATAAAGGCAGCACAGTCATTGACACCACACTTTTTTCTCCTCTCCCATGCCTAATGATACGCCAGCTCATGGTTAACTTGCCAGCCCCGACCAAGCCCCCTCCCAACCCAGCCGTGTGTCAGCACTTTTGATCCCAGCCTTGCACAAAGGCATGAGAACCCAGCACAGAGTTACCACCCCTGGGGAGCAAGAACTGTTTTGGGCAGGTGCCAGCACCCCTGCAGGTTCAGTGTTTCTGGATTTACCCTGTGAGCACAGCAGGCATTGATTTCAGAATCGGCGGCTGTAGGCTCTCAGCATACCACTCACAGGCTTCCCAGCTCCTTTGTGCAATAAGCTTCCTGTTCCCAACTGATTCACTGTTTATTTTTCACTATTATTCACTTATTCACTATTGCCATAAGTAAAAAGAATTTATTGCAACTAATAAATGTCTCACCTTCAGTCTCAGCAGGCAGATAGGAGCAAGGCTGGACAGGAAACCTTCATGACTTACTGCGAACAGGGGAGCCAAGTCTACTGCCACTTGTGGATTTGAGGTTTAGGGCTGCTGCTCTCTGCCTGCAGCTAACGTATGCGGCTTCCCAGCTGCTGGGCTGTGTCTTCTGCAATTCAGACTGTTCATCTACCAAGAAACGCCAATCTCAATACTGTTGCAAGAACCTCTGCAAGTCTCACAGCTTGAGTGTTTTTCTATATTAAAATGCATTTAAGACTGTTAGTAAACTGGGAACTCTGTTCACCTTGCAGACAGCAGAATGAAAGCGGTCACAAGATTTCTTCAAGTACTGCAACAAACTCGCTGAAGTGGCAATGCACATCCATTCCCCTCTTCCCAGGGCACCGTGCAGATAAACCCGCAGCCAGTGCCACGCTCCACACCTGCAGCCCGTCCCGGACCAGAAACTCCCAAAGCTGTGGGCAAGCACTCGGTGTCTCAGTGTCTCAGTGTCTCAGCCTGGCGCCCAGCGCTGTTACCTGTCCGCAGCAACCCTCAGCGAGCCACCGAGTCGCTGACCTGATCTTCTGCTTTCTCACCACCAAACCAAATCCTTCAGCCCAAGCACTCCGCCAAGCGCAGGGTACCAGGTTAGCTGGGTTTGCTCACAAAATACTGAGCTTCTTCAGCAAGGGCTGCCCGCGTCAGGCCAGGTAGCAGCCTGCCAGCCCTTCCCAACGCGTGGCTCGGCGGATTTCGGAAAAGAAACAACAAAACCCAAAACCCACCTCGCTGATGGCGCTGCAGGGGGCTGTCAGGGCAGGAGCTCGGGCATCTCGGAGCCGCCGCCGGTCACCGGCCCCCAGCGGCTTCTCGCGGCCGGGCCGGGCCGTGCTAAAGCCGAGCAGGTCGGCGGCGGCTGCGCTGCGTTTCCTTCTGCTTTAGCTCCCAGCCAAACGCCTCGCCGCAGGGACGCCTGACTTCGCCCGCTCGCACGCACGGAGCCGCCTCCCGGGGGGGCTCCGCCGGGACAGCGCCCGGCAGCGGGGCAGAGCCGCAGCGAGGCTACTCCCGGGGGACGCGGCAGCCTCGGGGTCCTCCCGGGCCCATCCCCGCGGCCCGGCTCTCCCGCTCTCCCCCTTCCCACCTCCCCTCCCTCGCCCACCGCCCGGGCTCAGCCCCCCGGCCCCGCTCCCCGCCGCGGGCGCTGCCCGGCTCCGAGCCGGGGTCGGGCGGTGCCGCCGCAGGTGGCTCCCCCCGGCCGGGCCCGGCCCCCGGCGCCGCCTCCCCGCTTCCCTGGAAATGAATCTGTACATGAATATTTCTTGGTGGTGATTTCGATCTGTGAAACGCCCCCACTCGAACCGGGCTCTGCTTCGCCAACACAGGCTGAGGGGCTGGGCTGGCTTCTTGGACCTGCGCTTCTGGGTGGGCACGGAACTGATGGGAGACAACCGGCACCGTTAGTACAGAGCCGAGTCCTGCGATGTTCACAGCTTCCCTTTGGGGACGGTTCACGAGGTGGTGCTCCTGTCAAGATGAGTTTCAAACGCATGCTTTGTGCCTGCTCAGAGCAGTGAGGATTGCTGCAGCCCCCCCTCCGCACCTTGATGCAGGCAGGCAAGGACTGGCAGCCCCCCGCTGAACCCGACGGGGAGCAGCACTTTGCTCTCCGCAGCATTTCTCACCCTAGAAACCCGTGTGTGTTTTGCTTCCTGCAGCCCGGAGGACAAAACTTGTGCAGACTGTGCACAGGTGCCTGCAGCCACAGAGCCCGGCTCTCACCCAAGCATGGGTACATTTCTAAGCATTTCACTGATGAGGCATTGCTAATGCAAACAAGCTCTTCAATGAAACACTGGTGGACAGAGGCAGGGCTAAGATAGAGCACTGGCTTGTTACAGCTGCATCTGCCAGAAGGAAGGAAGGATAAAACAACAAGGACCTAGGGGGCAAAAGATCTGGTCTCACACTTCTGTATTTTCACAGCCAGAGAACATACTACTGACAGAAGCTGGCAAGTAGATGCCTTCCTTGTCCACTTCTAACACTTCAAAGGGAGGAGCAGAAGTTCTCCAGCTCAGCTTGGGTTAAATTCAGGTGCAACATAAGGGCTGTCCTTTGTAGATAGCTGGTAGAATCATTGAATCATTTAGGTTGGAAGAGACCTCTAAAGATCTTCAAGTCTGTGCCTTGCATAGAGCCCACTGGGCAAGGTAAGATTCAGTGCAAACACTTTCTTGCCTATCTTTGCAACAAACCTTTCAAAGCATTTAGGAGCTTATACAAATACATAAGCATGGCACACCCTTACCTCGCTGCCAAGCCTTAGAAGCTGGATTTACCCAGGAGAATGGGCTCTTACCTAATCTTGCTGCTCAGGAAGCTGTTGGCTGCCTCGATAAAGCTAAGATCCAGTTCGAGGTGAGTTTTGGAAAAGGACTGAACTTTTGAAGATACCCACACATGCTTTTTGCCCCTCTTGTCTCCCAAGTCAGAAAAGCAAATACCAACCACACCTGCAAGGGTTGGAACTGAAATGCAGAGATGAAGTGACCTGCCCCAGCAGAAGGTCACATATAAACCTGGTTGTTCCTCCCCAGCCCTGGCTTGCTGTGCCATGTTATTTGAACAGGAACATGGCCATTGCCTACAGAATCAGAAAAGACTCAGAATTTGTTATTTTTCTGTTTTAGGTAACACAGCAAAAACACAGATTCCCATTAGTATCTTCCCCACTACCTCACCCAAGTACTGCTGAGATCTGGGTTTCAACCAATATTGCAATGGGAATACGTTTGCTTCACCAAGAAAATCAAGCATTCCCTTCTACAAGGGTCAACTTGCCAAAGTATTAAAATGTGAGAGATTTTTGGAAATAATTATCTATCTTTATTACAACACAAACTTTATAGGTCTTTATACTGCAACCCAGACCAGACATTCTCACCTACATCATACTTGCCGTTTAAATATGTGTCAAACGCCCATTCAAACGTAATGCCAGCTAAACATCCACATGGAACTCTGCTTCCACAGGCACACAAAAACACCATAAAAAATCTGTGGAAGTCTCCCAACTTCCTCAGAAGTATTTTTGCTTAGTGATAGTTTCTGGGTTTTGTTTAGTAAGAAAAATTTTTTGACTGTTCACTCAGTGGCACAAGAGTACAATGCTGTTAGAAAACAAACTCGGATTGATATGGAATACAGTTAAAGAAAACCATACGAATGGCACTGCATTGTTTTTATTTTAAGCCTCTTTACACAATGAAAGATGTTGGAATGCAGGTTCTTACACATTTTACACAAGATACATTGACAACATCACTTACTTGATTTGCGTTATAAAACTGTTTCTGAAGGTTTTCCACTTATCCCTACTTACACAAACTTTTACAATGGGGTAGAAATTAAACAATTAACAAAATATAAACACCACAGAATCCAAAATGGACTTCTGAAAATTTTAAAATACACAGGCCTCATGGACAATACAAGATTTTTTTTCTCCTTTTTTTTTGTATTGTAGAACAGTGAGACAAAAGTCAGACTTTAAGTGATTTTAATACCTGAAGAGATACATAAATATCATGCCTTTGGAGGCAAGATGAACAAAAACATTTTCCTGCCGTTTTAATACATACTATTCCTACCTCTGGAACAAGGACCTGCCTGCAGGATCCCATTTTGCAACTCGAAGCTGGTGGCAGGAAGGGATCACAAGCTGGCACAATACGGGGTTGAAAACTACTGCGCCTATGCAAATTCGTGACCATTGCTTTTTCTCTCCACCGTCAATCAAGTGAAAATACTTTTGAAAGTTCAATAAACACTTCATATAGAATTAAAATACAATAAAATGAATTGAAAAAGCCCAATTTCTGAATGATTTATATATATATATATATGAATATAAGCAGCCTGGCTTGTTCAGAAAATTGTAATCTTTTTATAGAAAAAGAATCTGGGTAGACTAAAAAAGGTTGATTATAAAATAGCGTAAAAGCATAGGAGCATGTGTCATTACACTGAGGCATATTTTCCTCCTACTAAAACACTTAACATGAGTTTACAAAATTAAAGTTCTGTATTTTAAAAGATGCATCCTGGTCTCAAAATTAGTGGATGCTCTATCAGACATACAGGATGCTACACAGAAAAACTCCTAATGAAAAACAGCAAACAAGGGCTCAAACTGCATAAAAGCTGGCTAAGCCAGGCAACTGACTGTCTTCTTAAAAAAAAGTAACAAAAAGAAAGACTAGAGAAGTTTAGGACCACAGGTTAAAAGTTAACCCTAGGTGTTTTATCTCCTAACATCATTTAGTCATAACATAACAGTCATAGAATTTATTTATAAATGGAGGCCACCTCTAGAACTGGAGAGGAACAAACATTACCATACTTTCGAGAGGATCAGAGACAACACATTCAATAGCTGAATCCCTATTTCACTCTGCATATTGTAATTCACTCTTAATTAGATGTCAGTGCAAACCATTGTACCATCAGATAGCAGCAGTAGTGTTGGGGACAGACTCCCAGTCTGTCTTTTAGTGGTCTGTGGTTCTTCCTCCTGTACTCTTCAAGTAGTTCTGCGAACTACACAGAATTTAGTTCCATACGTGTATTTGTGCCTCATGTCAAATTAAACATATCTGAGAAAAGCAAGCATTAACTTTCACACTTCAGAAGGTTACTGGCCGGGAAGGAATTTTAGCATAAAGAGTATTCTTTGCTTCCATTTAACTTTTACATGAATTAGAAGTTGTTGTACTGGCACAAATCGGGTTTTAATTGCTATACAAAGAACTTTTCTTGAATCCAATAGTGACAGTAAGATATTATTTCAGCACTTGGTACATCACACTTCACAGTATAAAGAGAATGTAACATCTTCAAAAAAATCTAAACTTCCTATTTTTCACTATTGCAAGTCAGGTGGATTTGCTACACTTGGGGCACTAGT